GGAGGGTACAACAGAAAAATAAAACCTGATACTGCAAGAATAACTCTTTAGAACCTATATTTGATTTGTATGTGAACTACTTGAAGTATCAATATATAACTGCATAATTTATTGCAAATAACTCAGTTGTTCTGTGGACTTACTTTCTCAATGTGTCTAATAAGCACTTGTTCTTTCTTGCAGGGTTATGGAAAAGCAGATCATTCAGTAACTGTAGACATACTGAAGAAAGTGTATGCAGATTATGAAATTACATGGTCAGATGACAAGAAATAAATCAGTTACTTATGAACACAACAAGCAGTTCAAAACTGGTAACTGTGAGCTGTACTTTGATAAATAAAATTGAATGTCTTCTATGTATGTTACCATAAATCTGGAGTAACTGGACTCTGATGTAATTTATAATACTGTTAGTAATCCCCAGATATATCTTGTTTTTCAGATAATTCCTTTGTGCAGAATCTGCAATTCTAAGCCTTTTTCCTGCTCCTCTTAAAATGCCATCTGAACGTTCTCACATCATCTTACCTCATTTGTTTTCATCCAATCCTGTATCACTGATCTACTGTAGGATACATCAGGATTTTGCCATCAACTTAAACATTGCAGGACTAAACCTTTTCCCTGGTCTTTTGACCATGGTGTTTTCTGTTTCCTTTTTTTTCTATTGCTCTTTAGGCTTTTCAAATTTCCTATCCACATTTACAAAAACTGGGGGGGGAGGGGAGGGTTGACTGTTGCAGTTCTTCACCAATGATCTAAATCTTTGATTTACTCCATGGTTTTGAAAATTCAGTATTTGTGTTCCACACAAGTAACGATCAAGGTCTTTTGTCTTTCTGTAAGATCCTTCCCTATAGCAGACTGATGGCAAGGTCAAATTATGACAATACTTGTTTCATTCCAATTCCCCTGTAGCTCTTTTATTCCCCATGAGTATAATGATGCTTTTTCTTTTTTACAGTAATAATTATCTTACAGCTAAGTACCTCCCAGCCAGATCCAGTACACCTAGGCAGTGTCTGAATTAACTTACAGCACCTGCTTCTTCCTGTTGTGGCAGGATGTTGCCCTTCATTTAAGTTACTTGCTACAATTTTCACTTTTTTGTTTCCTGCCAGCCTTCCTTTAATGCCATTGTGGATTTCAAGGGAGTACCTTTTGTTCTTACACTTACATTGTTGACTTGCAGTCTTCAAGAGGTATTTGTATATAAATCCTGGTGTATAATTCCCTTTGCTGTGGTTCTTACTGCAAGTATTGACTAGAATCTGGTGGTATAGAGTGGCTTTTTCTTTTCAATGTGCATGTGACTCTTATAGTACAAACTATGAAATTTGAGAGGCTTTTGTCCAGTTTCTATCACCCAAAAAAATCCTGCTGTTACTGTCTTATTACACTAATTCATGTTATGTCGCCCTTCTGTATCTTTGTTTTGAGTGGTTGGGCAGAGATGAATAGCCTGTTCTCGTCCTCAAATCTTGTTAGTCCGTTCCTTGTTAGAAGAGTTCCAGGTATCTCCATCCCAGTAATCACCTGGGAGCAGGATCTCTTGAACCTGGTGCTGCAGGTCTCTTGGTTGGCACCTGCTTCCCCTGACATGTAGCCTGGACTCTCCCCTCCAGTGCCTCTATGCGTTTTTGCATCTGCTGTTTGTGCTTCTTTTATGCTGTTGTGCAACAGCCTTCCTCCTGTACCACTTCAAATGCTATGATAATGTTGATTGCAGGTTTGACTTTGCTTAGGAAGATTTTGATCTCAGAACATGATTAAATGCCTGTGTACCTAGTAACCAAGAATAGCACACAAGTCAATTTGCAAATTGGGCACTTCCCGCTTTGATTTTCCTCACGGGTTTTTTTCCTCTAATCTTTAGTAAAATAACTGTAATGGAGGCCATTTAATTGGTGCCAGTATACAAAAGTGATTTTAATAGCCTCATTTCCCAAAACTAGCAAATAGTCTTCAAAGGGAAGTCATCAGTTAAGGATAGTGCCTGTTAAAACAAACCAGCTTTTTAATTTAGTTTCCTGAGACATTTTATGACTGATTGTAATGTTTCTCTCCACAATACTTATGGGAAAGACATAATTTAGACCGGATTTCTTATTGTGATGACTCTTTCGAAAAGCGAGGGGATGGGGTGAGGGGAGAAAAGGGGTGATGATTTGGAATGAGCTGATAAATTGAGTTACCAGCTGACTTCTTGTATGAATAAACAAAGGTAGAAGTTGGGCCTTATGTAGGGGTTTATTGTGTCATCAAAAAAATACTTTGAGGGTCCTTCCAATTCTGTTATTTTCTAGTGCCATGTCATTTGGGGAAATGCTAATTTCCCTAGTTATTAAGTAGTATGTACAAGCATTACAAGTGAGTGAAAGATTTTTATCCCAGATCATGAAGAGAAGCCAGAAACTGATCACTACGGTGGTGCTGATTTGGCAGGTAGAGAAAGCCTTGACGTAGATTAAGGAAACTAGTATTATCTGATGTTGAAACACCAATGGAACAACCAGCCTACAAAACTAAGTGTTGTATTCTGCTTCCTTTCAGCATGTATCTGCTGAATTTTAAGAATAGAATAGAACTCATCTGGGATTATGCAAATCCCAATGCTAATTTTGGTGATTTTACCTGAGAAAAAATACCTTTAATTCCAATTTGTAATTCTGAAATGGGAACTTCATTGTATTGTGTGGGGTTTCCTGTTTTGCAGGTGTGCAATCACTGAGATTGTGGCTCTAGCAGTCTTCACTTGAAAGTTCTAAGAAAATCTATTTCTTTTGCATGGAAACAGAGCTATCTTTGAGCAATCCAAGAATAAAAGGATGCTGAGCAAAGGAGTAGTATATTAAACCCCAGACAGTGAAGTCTGATCATGGAATATTTTGAAGAGGAAGCATTATGGTAGAAGATTGTAAGTGCCTTTTTTATTAATCAAAAAATACATGAGATTCTTGTTCTTAAACATACTCACTGTCATAGCAGGGAACATTTCTTATTACTTCAGATACTGTTCTCTGAAACAGCACTACACCTAGCAGGTGTAGAACAAGCTATTCAGTCACTATGTGCAAGCCAGGATTTGTCTTACGACTGCGGTTTGAAAAACAGCAAGTGGTAGTCACTGTTTCCAACTTCCCAGTTTTGACAAAGAACCGTTAACAGTACTTTATTGACCTGCCAAAGCTAAAACTTTTTTGTTCCTCAATCTGTAGTCAGCAGTTGTCTATCATCAGTAAGTTTCACAGTTGATGCAGAAAAATTCCAAAGCGCAATCACAGCCACAGCACAACTGGCTGCTTTCTTCCTTTCTCTCTGATAAAAAAGGAACTTCCGTAGTTTCTGAAGCATCCCTTTAAAATAGACTACTTAAAATTGTTTTTGAAGCAACAGTAGTTAAGACTCTTCTGTACAGTACAGGAAATCCTCTATGACTCTATCTTAATGGCAACATGGTCAAAATAAGAATCTTGCAGTTGACTTTCGTAGCCTTCAATGACGGGAACTTTACACAGTAAAGTGATTTAGGTCACTGCCATATTAAGTTTCTTTCCATTCCCTCAGACTATTGTCCTTTCTTCCCTACGCTGAGTATCCTTGCATCCAGTTTACTGCAGTGGCTGACTGTCTCCAAGTTTATATTTCTGCAAGTGCACCCAATGAATTATTGCTGCAGTAAAGCGGTGTGCGATGATAAACATGTGCCTATTAAGAATTGTGCAATAGCTTTTTGTCCAGTTTTAGTTAAGAAAAAACATGGAGTGGATTTTGGTTTTGTGTGAATTGTCAGTGATACCAAGCACTCAGGACCAGGTTTTGTAGTTCTTTGGATTTGCTTGCATTTTTGGTAAGGTAGTTACTTCAGCAACATCACGATCTTCAGCCTAGGACCCAGGAATGACTTGTACACAGGCTCTTCTGAAAGCCTGCTGCCCTGCCAAACTGCTGAAAAAGACTGAAGAGGTCTGAGTGTTCAGTAGTACCCCCAGCAGTACACTCCAGCAAGTTTTGGAAATGGGTCATAGTGTGTGAACAGTTTAATTTCTGGAAAATTGCTGTTTAAAAAAAACCCAAACCACAAAAAAACCCAAAACCAAACCTCCCCCCCAACCCAATACAGCACTCTAGTTAGCAATAGCACAGTTTATCTCCTTTCCCACTTGTCACCTAAAGCTCAGTTCTGTCATCCTCTGGTTTCCCAGATTGCATTTGTAGGTTTATTGGTTGGTTGTTATAAGGAACTTCTCTTGTGTAGAATCTTTCAACTCATCTTCTAAAACAGAACTCAGTTTTATTAATTTCTGAAAACAGTATGGCTTTTCCCAATTACTTGCTGAAATTTATTCTTGGGAGTGCTATGTCAAAATCTATATGTGAAAATTCACAGGCCACAGTAATAAATATTATCTGGTACATTTTTTCAAAAACTTGAATAAAATTCATGTATGCATTACACATGGAAGCATTACAAAGATTTGTGAGATTGCTAGCAGAACATAATACAAGTGATAAATACAATCACATCCCCCTCTGGTGGCAAAGCAGCAGAGCAGACAGGGATGAGGTCGATTCTGAATTCTATTGCTGCAGTTAAACCATGTCCAAGTTGGGCACCTAACCCTTGGGAGCCACTTCTTGCACTTCATTAGGATGCTGAATGATCTTGTTTGGCTGCACTCAGAAGCTGCTACTGTGATGTACAGTTCTGGCACTGCCAAAGAATGTGAGAGGGGGACTGGGGACAGTGACTTGCTTTGTTTTTACATACCTATAAATGACAATTAATTGGCATAAACAGGTGGTGGTTTAAGCAGAGCTCCATTTTTTTTCTATGCAAAACTAGAATCGGAAGAATCCTTAACTTCTAGTCAGACATCAGAATTTCAAGCATTTTAATAATGTGCATCCTTAATTCATCAAACCAGAATAACTCAACAGAGGAAGAAACAGAGAGATGAGGATTAAAACATTTGGCCTTTAAGATATTTTTGAAGGACCAGTGGGTGAATTTTAACTGGAATCTTTAAAGGCCATTTCCATAATACATCGCTGCAGTCCTTTATCAATTATTTTAACTATGTTGGTCCTAAACACGTTTCTCTCTTCAGTGAATTTCTCAAAGAGGTAGATACCACCGCCAACCCCAAAATAATGTACTTTGCTTGCCAAATACACACGGCCCTTTTTATCCAAGAGCTGAGCCAGTGTATCATGCAAAGCACTGTAGTAGTCAGGGTTATAGATGGTCTCAGATGTGAGAATTATATCGTACTTTGAAAAGGGTTTGTTGCTGCTTAATAGGAGCTGGCTGACTTCAGACCACTCTCCAGAAAAAAACCTGCATTTGGTGAGTACATCAGGTACGTACTCTGCTTTCTTGGGCCTCTTCAAAGGAGGCTTGCTAGTTTTTCTGTTGTCCCCACTGCCCTCACTTATACAGTTAGCCACCGCATTAGGCAAGGTTATTTTATCAATCACTGTGCTGTTGTAGTCCTGAAAATGGACTTTTTCAGCTTTACCCCTTAAAGCAACTATTCCCAGCAGACCAGCCCCGCAGCCAAGATCCAATACAGTCTTGTTGGTAAACTGTATTTCAGCCTCAGAAAAGTAGTCTATGAGATCAAAGGTGCATTCCCAGATTTTCAGTCCTCCCTCATAGATTCCTGGGATAAGATCGGAGTGAGAAGAAACACTTTGAGACACGATGCCTTCTTCGTCGGCACCATCCAAACACGTCATTTCTGCTCCAGATATATTTATGTAATACAGGTCTGATACCGTTTCCATGACTTTATTTTCCAGTATTTTGTTGACATTTTCAGGAATACTGTGCTCCTTGGCAGCTTTCAAGCAGAACTTTTTCTTTGATGGTGTCTCATCTTGTTGCTTATCGGTACCCACCTCTGGGCTGGAGTCTGCTACAGTATCTGCAGTCTGCTTGCTCTTTTCTGTGGATTCCCGCTTGTGTTTTGGAGAGCAGAGCTGTAAGTCCATCTTACCGTGAGTGTCTGGTTCACTGCTCTCATTTTCATCAATAGAAAAATTAAATCGAAAAGCCATTTTTCAGGAATAAGAGTTTAAAAAACCCAAAGCTTAATTTATTACAGCCAGGAACACTTATCTAAGAGCAATACCAATACAAATATTTTTTTCTTTCTTTTTTTTTTTTTATAGAGGAGATTTGTATGTAGTTATCGCTATGGGGAAGAGTGCTTTGCAGGTAGAATATCGGATGTTTTGCCAACGAAATCGGGTGAATTGCTTCTGGAAATAGAATAAATAGTTTTACGTGTCATTAAACTGCCACATATTAGCACAAAGAAACGGTCTAATTATAGCATCCTAATTTTCATTAAAAAATAAACTTTCTAAACATTTAATTTTTTTTAAAAGACAGTGTTACAAGTGTACAATGTAGGTATAATTAAGGAAATTAAGATTGCTTCTTATTCTGGTAAAACTCCCATTTCAGACTTAGCGTTTCAAGAGAGGCAAAAACAAGGCGCGCAGAGGCTGCTAAGGCCCAGCTTCCCTTCCCTGTACCCTGGGCCGAAGCATGCAGGCCGGGCAAAGGGAGCCGGTGTCCCGCTTTACCCCCCGCGTTGTGCCCGTACCGACCCTCAGTTGCACTCACCCTCCGGTTCTCCCACGTGGAACGGTTCCCACTTCCGCTTCGTTAAGCGCATGCGCGCCCGCAGTGGTGGTGGGGGAAGGGGCGGGGCAGCTGCGGACGCAGAGGCTGCTGGGATAGCGGAGGTAACTTTTTCCCGCTTGTGCCCGGCCCTGAGGTGAGCGGAGGCGGCGCCATGTCCCAAGCAGATCCTGAGCTGCTCCTGCAAGAGCTGGGAGGTTGGGATTGGGATCTTTGCCGCCGGGAGCTGCCCGCCGTTCTACCCCGGCTCCTTATATCCTTCTCGGGGTGTGGAGGGGATGGCGGTTCGCCTCTTAGGCGGCTGTGAGCCACCGCGAAATGGCGGGGGAGGGATGTGGGAGTGTTCTTCTTTCGGCATGGCACAGTTCAAGCAGATAAATCGGTGGGAGGGAAAGCGGTGCAGCCTTTGTAAGGGGCCGACACAGGATGGAACAGCTGGAAATGAGTATAGCCTTTTGCTGAAATAAAAGATTCACGGTAGAAAATAGCGTGTGGTTCATTTAACGCTGTAGATAACATCCCAGCCCGCCCAAAAAAACCCCAGGCTTACTCTCCCAAATACATTGCAGAAATACTTGTGCTGATCTTGTGGTACTGAGGTGTATCTGCCCACGGTGGTTATGGAGCAGCCCCGCCAGTTTCATGTTCTGGATGAAGTGTATGCGGGACAGTGTGAGAAGTCACTGCGACTTCTGCAGATGCTTTAAAGATCATCTATGCTGCCAAAAGACATTAATCGCTGGTCTTTACCTAGGTGGATGGGCCACCTTAACCCGGAAAAGGAACATGTATAAATTTGTATATGTTCGATAAATAACCTTTTTGGCAGAACAAGTTTGAGTTTCTTTGACGTTTTAACTCTCTGTATCAAGAGTCTGACGGCTGGACTGAGCATATTCGTAAGTAGTGACCAAGGAGTGCTGCCTCTTCCGAAGAATCATATTGCAATTGCATTATAAATTCTGCACTACTTAAAAATACTTCTGCTATGACTAGTGACTTTCAGAGTCTTCAGCAATCCTTCCGGACCTTGCATGTTACACCGATTGCACGTTGAATAAGCTTTATAAAAGCCCATAAAGAAACTATGCATGTAAGGCTGCTTTTTCCTTCCCACTACTGATTTTTAGCTACTTGAAAGAAGGGTGCTTTTCATCTTGTATTTTATTGTCTTTTTGGCCATTATCTTACAGGTGGCAAAACTCTGGTAATACGTGATAGTGATAAGAAAATGAGGCTGATATGTAACTGTTTAGGAGTCTTGCTAACATGCACTGTTAGTTGCCTGTTAGTGCCAACCTGCACGTTACATGTGCAATTATGTGCAGTTTGGAATATGAAAAATTCTAGTTCCATGGCAAACAATCGTGCTCAGCCTTCAACTAAGCGTAGTCAGGTGTGATGCTATTACTGATGGGTTTATGCACATTGGAGCTGTTATTGGTACTTGATTTTTCAGATAATGCATACATGGCAAATGTTATGTTGCCCCTCTCAAAATCAAATATCTGATCTGTTTCTGCTTGACACAGCTCTTTCTTTCATCCAGTAGGATGCTACATGTTTCTGATAATCGCATGTTGTTTTTCTGTAAGGTGTTATAAACGTTTTGCTTTGCAGGTGTTTTGAGGATTCTGACTGAAATGTTTTTGCCCCATATCAGCCTTGCAGATTTGGAACAAACTTTTTTCTCAAAAGTATTACCTAAGGTATGACACATTCAGTTAAACGTGGAATTTTCAGTCAGTCCAGTGCTAAAAACCTGCTTAGAATGCAGTGATTCCTTTTTGAGGTCTCATGATATAATTACTACTTTGGATACAAAACTTGAAATTAAAATTTACTCTTTAAAAGTTTAACAGTTTTGTGTTGTTGAATTGTTTCTGTGATTGTTACCGTTGTTTACGGTGGGGAAAGGATCAAACATATGATGTTCTACTTTCTATATTGAGTCACAGAATTGGGTTTTATTTCTTGTTGAGAATATTGGGCTTTTTATAAAATGACCAAGGTGAAGAATTTTTATGTGAGGTAGCCTCTCAGGACAAATAAACTGAGGAACCCAACACTCATATATACTGAATAAACATTGTGATATTTGTGGATAATACAGTGAATAAACTTCTAGACCATACTGGCCTAAGATGTTCTCTTTTTGGATTAAAGAATGGAGAATTTTGTGCTGTAGTTGTATTAAAATTCTTCAGTGCTTACATTTTAACTGAAGTAATGTAGTGCCAAATTACTGATTGAAGTTTCAGGCCTCAGCTTGTATATGTTTAAGAAGCCAGTAAAAATGGCCACTTGATTTCCATTTCCCCTTATTTTATGTCCTGTAGCAAATTTTGGAGATTACAAGAAAAATGACTCATACCAGGCATATCCTGAGCAAGGGTTACTGTACCATGCAAGTTCATGTAATATCCTGCACACGCCTGGAAGCCGCTCACTGTCTTTGCAGTCTCAGGAGTAACACTTGTAAAATATCCAAGGACCTCAACCAAAGTAGAAATTATTGTTGTTTGTAGGTCATAGACTTATTTCTTTAGGTATTCAAACTGTTTATGACCATTCTTATCAAAAAAACCTATTTTTCTGAGACAAAATGAAAAATCCTTTTAAAATGGTGCGGTTTTATTTAAGTAAAAAATCTTTGGTAGAATGAGGTGTATATTTCAAGTGAAGTAGCTAGGAGGTTTGTTTTACTAACAAGTTTTATAAAAAATAACAGCTAATATAGCTTCTGTCTGTAATTTGGGAAAACCATAAGATGCTGTTCGGTTCTTGGTATATCATGCTTTACGACTCAAATGCTAGAAAGTGTTATTTTCCCCTGTGAGTTATCTCAGTAGCCCAGGACTCCATGCCAAGGAAGCAAGCAGATAGAGAATGGTGTTACTATTTGCATATGTACATTTATAAATAACATGTTTAAGTTTTGTTTTGTTCTGACAGACTCTACAGTTCTTTGATAACTTGATGTATGAATTATCCAGTGAGGCCAAAGGATTAACCAGCCAGAATACAGAGTTGTGCAGTACTGTAAGGAGTCTTTTACAGGCAAGTCCCATGAAATCAGTTGTCAAAGGAGTGTTTACATTATTCTTTGATTTTTACCTGAACTATTAAGGTGTTTTTAGAATGTTTTTGTTAGGTACTAGCCAGCTGGTTAAAATGTAATTTGAGCTTCCTTTGCAGTTGAAGTTCAATTAAAATTCTGTGAATGATTTGATTACATTTAATGTGTGATGCTAATCAGAATGTAAAAAAAAAAAATCTCCAATTCTCTAACACAAGTGGAATGTGATTCTCCGTATTTAAAGAGTGAGTCTGACATCTATTTATACAGTCATTTAATTCAGGGTTTTAAAATTTTTGTAAACAGAGAACAGTAGTCAAAAGAAATACGGAACTTTCAAAGAGTGTATGATATCGGAGAAGAGGTCTGGAATTGCTTGATATTATTTTGTGGAGCTTCATACATCTTTAGCAGACTACTTATTTATGCAAATAGCAGTGACCTTTAAATGCCATATAAAAATCTAGGTGCAATTCAGCTAAGAAAAGATGCTTTTGAAATTATTGCAGGAGTGAAAAACATTGATGGTTTTTGTTTATTCTTACTTTAAGACTATGGTGCAACTGCTGGAAACTCTGACTGGTTGTGTACGATACATCTGCACACTGCAAGAGTGTGTGCCTCTCGGGAGTATCCGCACCCTTCCATCCTCAGTGCTTTATGTCATAAAGAACACATTTACACACTGCAAGGTAGGTCTGTATTAGAAGGAGAAAAGTTCTTATACTGGTTGGCTTTTAGGAAACACTTGCTTTGTAAGAAGATCCTATTTTGAAATCATGTGGCTGTTGAATTGTTATTTTTTAGGTTTAAATTTAGTCATTAATAGTTTACAGAATGTACTTAGCGCACAAGTACAACAACGATTTTTCAGCTGTCTGACCAGCAAATCTGACCTGGCAGGGAGAGGCAGACTGTGCTATTTCTGCATTTTGCATCAATGTCGATTGAACATTTTGCTTTATGAGTGTAATTTGCTCTCTGTGACATCTGTGTGCTTCTGGTAGATGCAGTGTTTTGAGAGCTACCAGTGGGTACCAAAATGGTGCTACTTAGCATTGGAAGTTGCGGTTAGGAGCTTTATGTTGGTTATGATGAGTGACATATACTAGTTTCAGATCTGCATTTTCAGATGCAACGGTAATTCTGTCTACAGGAGTGAAAATAAAACAAGGTTGTCATAAGGACACAAGAGCTTTTGGTCGGCTTTCGATTTTCACTTTTCAGTTTTGCTTTCTTATGGGAACATTGACAGCAGTTTCCCATGTCAGGACTTGAACTCAGGTGCCATACCTTTATTTAACAATTCTGATTTGAAAGTATTGAGAA